TTAGGCACTGTCTCTGAGCTTCTTTTGCTCAGGCTAGCATTTTACCACTTGACCACAGTGCTTCATGCATACCAGGCAAGCACTCTACCAACCATTAAGGCCACATTCCCAGCCCCTGGCCTTTTTTTAAGCACAGCAAGACTGGTACTCTACCACTTGAGCCATACCTCCCTTTCTAGCATTTTGCTGGTTAATTGAAGATAAGAGTTTTATGGATTTGTCTGGCTCAAGAAGAGTTCCTCAGATCTCAGCCTCCTGAGTAGATGGAATTACAGGTGTGAGCCACCAGTGCCTGGCTCTCTAATTTGATATTTTAATTTGAGGGGAGGGTGATGGGAATGGAACCCAGGGCCGTGACATGCTAAGCATATGCTATAACACTCTATTTTGAACTCAACATTCATGTAGAACTTAAAACCCGTACCACATTCGCTTCTGTCCCCTTAATACTGAAAATTCTTTAAATTAATAACAGCTAGTGGAATAGATACTAATTCATTTTACAGATGAGAAAATTGAGTTTTGGGAGAGTTAAATGATGATCCCAGTAGCACCCAGCAAGCCAGTGGAGTACCTTGGCTTGCTAGTCTGGCAGGCAGGGTGTGGAGCACACACTCTAGTTCTTCTGTTCATGCTCTCTTTCCTTCTATACAGATTGTCATATCTACCTGTTGCAGTAGCTGTCCATTCATTGTATAGATGAGCATGGGGCTGGGGTTGTGGCTCAAGTAGTAGAGTGCTAGCCTTAAGTGAAAGAAGCTCAGTGCCTAGACTGAAGTTCAAGCCCCAGGACTGGCAAAGAAAAAAAAAAGAGGTGTTTCTGGTTCTTTCTGTCAGGAGCAGTCAGTGCTGCAGGGTTTGCATACCTTTGGCTTTTCCACATAGTGCCAGACTGCTTCCCTAAATGAATGCTAGCTCATTCATTGGCCACCCACATGGGCCTTGGTTCTCTAGCCATGAGGTAGGCCATGTAGGTATATGAAGGGACAGCAATGAAGGTACATCTCTGATGGACCCATCAGGCTTGTGTGGATGCCCCTTTGCAGCTCCCCCTCCCCAGATCAAACCCTCTCTCCTGAACACAGGTGCTGAGCCCTTTCTGCAATAGTAACTCCAACCTCTTCCTACTTTCCCTTCTTAAATTGGTTTATAGCAGCCCCAGCTCATTGGGCACTGGGTTATTGACAACTTCAAAGCCTGGAGCACCTTCCAGCCTGTTGATTAGGACAAACCCAACTTAAAAGCCATTGCAGCTGGGCACTGGTGGCTCATACCTGCAATCCCAGCTGCTAATGAGATCTGAGGATTGTGGTTTGAAACCAGCTCAGGCAAGGAAGTCTATGACACTCTTTTTTTTTGTCAGTCATGGGTCTTGAACTCAGGGCCTGGGTGCTGTCACTGAACTCTTTTTGCTCAAGGTTAGTGCTCTACCACTTTGAGCCATGGCAGCACTTTTGAGTGGTTTAATTGAAGATAAGCATTTCATGGACTTTTCTGCCCAGGCTGGCTTTAAACTGCAATCCTTAGATCTCAGCCTCCTGAGTAAATAGGATTACAGACAGGAGCCACCAGCACCTAGACTCATGAAGTTCTTGTCTCCAATTAACTACCAAAAAAAGCTGACATGGATCTGTGGTTCTACTGATAATAACTTTGAGGGGAAAAAAAGTTCAAGGGGGCTGGGAATGTGGCTCAGTGGTAGAGTGCTTGCCTAGTATGCATGAAGCCCTGGGTTCGATTCCTTAGTACCACATAAACAGAAAAGGCTGAAAGTGGCGCTGTAGCTCAAGTGGTAGAGTGCTAGCCTTGAACAAAAGAAGCCTAGGGACAGTGCCCAGGCCTTGCGTTCAAGCCCCATGAATGGCATAAAAGCAAAAAAAATGCCATTACAAGCTGAGGTGTGGCTGAAAGTAGAACATTTGCTTAGTATGTACAAGATCCTGGATAATATCCCCAGCACTGAAAAAAAATAAAATTATGCACATATATATCTTGATTTTTTTTTTTGCCAGTTGTGGGGCCTGAACTCTGGGCCTGGGCACTGTCCCTCAGTTCTTCAGCTCAAGGCTAGCGTTCTACCACTTGAGCCACAGCGCCACTTCTGGCTTTTTCTGCTTATGTGGTGCTTCCCAGCCCACAGAGCCACTTCTGGCTTTTTTTCTTTTTGCTTATGTGGTGCTGAGGAATCGAACCCAGGGCCTCTGGCATGCAAGGCAAGCACTCTACCACTGAGCCACCTTCCCAGCCCCTCAGCCTCCTAAGTAGTTAGGATTACAGGCATGAGCCACTAGTGCTCAGCTAAATGTGAATTCAAGGTTATAGGGGCTGGGAAGGTGGCTCAGTGGTAAAGTGCTTCCTAGCATACATGAAGTCCTGAGTTTGATTCCTCAGTACCACATAAACAGAAAAATACCAGAAGTGGCACTATGTCTTAAGTGGTAGAGTGCTAACCTAGAGCAAAAGAACCTCAGGGATGGGATGTGAATGTGGCTTAGTGGTAGAGTGCTTGCTTAGCATGCTTGAAGCCCTAGGTTTGATTCCTCAGTACCACATAAACAGAAAAAGTCAGAAGTGGCACTGTGGCTTTTATCTCCAATTAAGCACACACATCCTGACCACCCCCCTCCCCCACAAAAGGCCATAAGTGGACCTGTGATTGAAGTGGTAAAGTGATTTTTTTTTCTCAGTTGTGGGGCTTGAACTCTGGGCCTAGGCAAGGATAACGCTTTTCCACTTCAGCCACAAGAGGTGACTCTTGTTTTCTGGTGGTTAATTGGAGATGAGAGTCTCATGGACTTTCCTGCTTGGGCTGGCTTTGAACTGTGATCCTCATATCTCAGCCTCCTGAGTAACTAGGATTACAGGCGTGAGCTACTCTTTTTTTTTTTTTGTCTGTCGTAGGGCCTGATCTCTGGGCCTGGGCGCTGTCCCTCAGCTCTTCAGCTGTAGACTAGTGCTCTACCACGTGAGCATCAGCCCCACTTCCAGCTTTTTCTGCTTATGTGGTGCTGAGGAATCGAACCCAGGGCCTCTGGCATGCAAGGCAAGCACTCTACCACTGAGCCACCTTCCTAGCCCCACTACTCTTGAGCACAAAAGCTCAGGGTCCAGGCTCAGGCTCTGAGTTCAAACCCTAGGACTGGCACAAAAGCAAACTGTGTGAAATTCGTTCCTGAGATACAGAAAAGTCATATTTTGAGATGTCCAATTGGGAGTCTTTTTTTTCTTTTTTGTTGGCCTTAAGGCTTGAACTCTGGGCCTGGGAGCTGTCCCTCAGCTCTTCAGCTCAAGGCTAGCACTCTACAGCTTAAGCCACAGCACCACTATTGGTTTTCTAGTGGTTTATTGGAGATAAGAGTCTCACAGACTTTCCTGCCTGGGCTGGCTTTGAACAGTGATCCTCAGATCTCAGCTTCCTGAGTAGCTAGGATTACAAGCATGAGCCACCAGCGCCTGGCTGGCAGTCTTTTTTTTTTGTCAGTTGTGGGGTTTGAACTCAGAGCCTAGGTGCTGTCCCTGAGCATTTTTGCTCGACTAGAGCTCCGCCACATTGAGCCACAGCACCACTTCTACTTTCTTTTTTTTGGGGGGGAGGGGTCCCGTCGTGGGGCCTGAACTCTGGGCCTGGGCGCTGTCCCTCAGCTCTTCAGCTCAAGGCTAGCGCTCTACCACTTGAGCCACAGCGCCACTTCCGGCTTTTTTTCTTTTTTGCTTATGTGGTGCTGAGGAATCGAACCCAGGGCCTTGAGCATACAAGGCAAGCGCTCTACCACTGAGCCACCTTCCCAGCCCCCACTTCTACTTTCTTATCAGCTCTTCAGCTCAAGGCGAGCACTCTACCATTTGAGCTACAGCTCCATTTCCGGTTTTCTGGTGGTTTATTGGAGATAGGAGTCTCACGGTCTCTCCTGCCCGGGCTGGCTTTGAACCACGATCCTCAGATCTCAGCCTCCTGAGTAGCTAGGATTACAGGCGTGAGCCACCAGCGCCCGGCTTCTACTTTCTTTTTATGTGGTGCTGAGAAATCGAACCCAGGGCCTCATGCATGTGAGGCAAGCACTCTACCACTGAAGTACCTTCCCAGCCCCTGGCACAAA